ACTCCAACAATAAGATTCCGGTTCTAATAAGCCGTCGATGCACCACTATAATAACCGATAATCATGTTACCGAGCTCTGCCAGGAATTCCATGTGGAGAGGTGTCAATCTAGCGAATACTTTATCGCTGTCTCTCACTGTTGTGGCGGATGTCGGTTGTTCCAGATTGCGTTGAATGTACATCCATAGATAGGATGTGTGGATGTGTTTGATGCCGGATAATTTCATCATGTATTGTTGGTTGAATAAGCGACAGAACCTAAACGGTCCATTGGGATCAATTACCCCTGCACTTGCTAAGCCACGATCAATTCTGTACTGCTCGTTCTGGCTGCTCAGCCGAGACAAAAAATCTAAAAAGACATTGCAACCATCTTGTGTTAGATTACTATACGAGATGTACGCTAGATGCTCTCCAGATATTCGCAGTTTGTCCGCTACACTCAAGCCAAGAGCAGGAATAACCATGCCGTAAAATGCGAGCCGAATTTCAATCATAGCTTTGATTTGAATCTTACAGTTGTTTGGTGTCAATGAGCCGTCTTGATTGGTATTGATGAACTCCACTAAACTTTGTAAGTATGTTGCTACAGTAGAAGAGTATGCTGTCATATTTGTTCTAATGGTCTCTATCGCCTTCGGATTAAACTCAAAAGTTAAGGCAGGATTCATGTTAAGACCGTATTTGTTTGGAGAAACTCCAAACTCCTTTCCTTTATTGATCACATGATCAGTGGATTTTGCTACTAATCTGACTAGCAGATAGCTCAGCGCAACTCCTATTGTTGGTAATTGACCAGCAGCGTACATGTCTTGGATTCTTTCAATAAGGGTCCTTTCCGTATCTCCAATTTTCCGAATTTGAGATTCATGTAAAAACGATGAATCTTGAGCATCCCGCACTGATGGCCTTACATCAGGCATTGATGATGGTCCTGGCTTATCAGCATCATTAACAACATCGGCGATGTTGGATGTCGAGTAAATAGCAAATAGGTCGTCGAAACATGTATAATTTCTAGATTTCAGCTTAGCCATGAAGTCAGCCCGGATTTTTGATCGGAATTCTCTATAGCCCGGCCATGTGTACTCTGTGAAATTGGTAACGTGAGGAGTCTTGTATTTCGCGGTGAGCATTTTCTTACCTGCAACGTATTCTCCTGGAGAATATCCAACGAGATTGCAAAAATGCACCAAAATCACATCCGTGAGCTGGGCATAGGTAATGGGCAGGTGGATAGAATGCGTGGCGGCGATAAACAAGATTGGTCCTGATAATTGAAGAAGCTCCAGTTCTGGATCCTCCAATGCAGGAGGGAAGGTTTTGCTTGATGTGTTCAATTTGAGATCTTCTTCTTTCCAGTCAAGGTCAGTCACTGATGATGTGGTAGTACCCGATCCCGAAGTATGCTGAATCCCCTTGAAAGCAGGGAGAGTCTGAGCAATCTGTTCCTTTTTCTGTTGCGAAAAAGCTAAAGACTCACGGATCTGATTGATATCATCCTCACTATACGAGTAAGATTGCGAATTCATACCTGGAGCATCGGTGGTTCAGTGGTAGAATGCTCGCCTGCCACGCGGGCGGCCCGGGTTCGATTCCCGGCCGATGCACCACTAAAGTCGTCGTGTAGGTATATGAGATATGTTCGTTGCTAAAACTCTGCCACGCGGGACTTGTACACGATACGACCTCAAACTTGGGTAATTAAACCTTTACTAACTAAGATAATGATAATTCTGATAAGAAACACATCAAAGGATCAAAAGTGCGCTACACTAACTCCTCCCGAGAAATGGATATAATACCAAGCGGGTTCTAATGCTAATCGTGCTAAGTGTACTTAGAGATCCTATGAATGAAGTTAAACTCAAAGTGACGGTGCATAATCAAGAAATAAGAAACTGAGAGGAGAAGTTCAATAGAACGAATGATTATGATTTCACCCGCATGCTTATATGCGGGCGCCAGCCTGCTTCTCAAAACATATGCGTGATGATATGACAGATAACGCATTGTTCGAGTTACTGGTTACAGTAAACGTGTGGCTTATGCTGAGAAAGTTCCATTAACATCAGAGAACAGAGCAAAGTATACAACAAATAATAATAATACTGAAATACTGAAGTTTTCAGTATACTCCGGCCCCAAATTAAGGTGCTTCATAACTCCTTCGGTAACGCTGAGGTCGGCTGGTCCTTGTAGTTTCTTGTCGTGCTTGTGCTCGCGTCTCTGAAGAGTTCCTGAAGTCAATACTTTCAAGTGCCTTTTCACAGAACTCAATTATAATTTGCATTTCTCCTCTTCGTTTAAGTTTGTTTTCGACTTCTTCAGGTTTCCTGCAGACACTGCAGTGATGATCGAAGTCGTCCTGGTACTTACCAGCCTTACAATAAAAACAAGGCAATTTTTTAGTGCATTCCTTACGATAGTGGTACCCGAGACACTCCTTACATCTTTTTTCCGAGTTCAATATTTCCAGTCGTTTGGATACGAGTCGTACTTCCGGGCAAGCATCTGAGTAATGCCTGCCCTTCGTTTTACAGTATACACATGCCATCCCTTCCTCAGTCTCTTTCATGACTCTATCGCCATAACGTCTTTCTTTGATGACATTGTAGCTGAGGAAGTCATCGATCTCTTGCAATTCTTGCAAGCTTTGCTTCAAGATCGTTTCATATTTCTCCTTGTCCGCGGTAGGGATGTGTACTCCATAGTGTTTCCTTTTGTATCCCGTTCTTGAACAGCCGGGACTAGTGCAATCGTGCTCCATTTGTTTTTCTTCTTCCCGACTACGTGATTCCATCAAATTTTCTTCGATCTTTGCGGCAAGGTGCTGGCATTCGTTCATGTATCTCGTCATTTGAGTTATAATCTCCCTCTGGTTTGCCTCTACTCTTTTAAGTTCCGCTGCCATTGCTTTCGAATTCTCCACATT